CGGGAAATCCTGAAGTTTGCCACATTGTGCCATTCAGCATCGGCTCCAACGAAGAAAACCGACGCAAGTTCCGCGACTATCTTGGACCAGGAATTTTCTGCACTTTCTCCGAGACACCCACATGGGTCGATGGGCCCCCTGGCACTGGCCTGCACAGCATTTTCTCCGAGGACACGGGTGAAGACGACGAGATGGAGGACGAAGACGACGAGATGGAGGATGACATTCTCGGTGATGAGCCGCCGTCTACCCTGTTCGCAATTCGTTGTCGCAAGATCTTTACGTCCAAGATCGGCGTCAGTGATAAGTCGTGGAACGAAATTTGTCTCAACAGACAACTACACAACTGGTGGGGCCGGGGCTTTTTCGCCTTCAAGCCACTCGGCATCGATGCCAAGTTCCAAGTTGCGCTCACGAGCCCGAAGGGACGATCCATCACATACACGCAGATCAAGCTGCAATTCCACTGGATGCCCCGCCAAAACGACTTGCTTCGTGGGATTTCTGAGGATGTGAGCCCTCAAGAGCTCTCAACCACAGTTGGAAAAACATACGGAGACCTGGACTTGACCGACAGCCTGAATCCAGTGTTTGCACTGGATCGGCGCAGTTCAATCTCCCACCATGTTCAAACAGGAGACATCGTGTATGTCAAGGTCGAGCCGAGGTATGCCGAGCGCATGCTTGCAGCGTTCCGAATCCAGTGGGCGGCAATCAAAATTTTGGCCATGGCGGGAGGGGTAGAGTCGTTGGACGACGTCGGAGATCACCCTGACTACCTCGATAAGAACCTCAACTGGCTCGGCGACCGCGGCTTGACGATTCCGGAGCTTTTCAAAGAATGGGCAGCTTGGGATGAGGACGCAGGTGGTGGACTGAAGAAGGATTAAAGAAAGGGGGGCCGAAGGCGCCCCGAACAAGGACCGCTCGCGCGGGGAAAGAGCATAGATTAGAGAGACCGCAACAGAGGCCTAGGTAATGGAACTGGACACCTATATTTCTACAGACTAGGCCCTCGAGATGGAACTAGACACCTATATTCCTACCGACCAGGACTTAAAGTCGGAACCGGATGCCTTTATTTTTGTCCAACCAAGTCCTGAAGTAAGAACAGAATACCTATTTCTCTACCGATAAGGTCCTGAAGTCAGAACTGGAGGCGTGGCGTCCTTGGCAAGAGGTCTCGCGCTAATAAACAAACCGGGGCTGGAGTGTACGTGCGAGGCTTTGGTGGAACGTTAGCGCCTTGCTTTTAAAAGACGAGAAGGCGCTTTACAATACAATACTGGTTTGTTTATTAACGCGAGACATCTTGCCAAGGAACTTACGCCTCCAGTTTCTACTTTCGGACCTTGTTGGACAAATAAAGGCATCCTGTTCCGAATTCAAGACCTTGTCGGTAAAAATATCAGTATCCAGTTCCATCCACAGGGCCTGGTTGGTAAAGGTACAGGTGTCCAGTTCCATCTCTAGGGCCTAGTTGGCAAAAGTACAGGTATCCAGTTCGCCTGCCTAACAATCTCAGGGTCTGGATATCAGAGACTGTCGCACATACGGCCGTGTCATCATCAACGAGTTAACGATGGATTACGCAAAGTTTCCACATCAGTTGGGCGGCATGCACATGGACCGCGTCCTCCTGGCATTGTTCAAGGAGACGGTGGAGCTTTTCAAACCCGATGGCTATACCTTTTCACCTGGAATTCTCTTAGCCCAGGACATGTTCAAAGTCTTTCGACCCGTGGTTTTGATGTTTGGTCGACGCGACGTAACTCGAGTATTCCGCCAGTTTCAGATGGACGATCCAAGTTGGCCAAGGTATGTCATGTTCCGACGACCACCGGGCTCATTTCTACCACGCAATGCTCGTCTGCAACGAGGCTCAAGCTAGGTATCCAGGCCAAAACTTTCTTCTGTTTGGATGACGGGGCGGTCTTGCGCAAGGCCTCTTACACGCTCCGAGAGATTGTCCACGCACCGCCGGATCTGGTTTGGGCAATGCACGTGCTTGCTTGCCCCCAGCTAGGTATTCAAGGATGTTGGCGAGTTCCTCTATGAGATGGAGCGTTTTGACGCATTGGACGCCTCCGTCAGTTGTGAAGGGGAGGTCCTGTGGTCATGGTTGGCGATCGACGACAAGACTTTTGTGGTGGCAAGCAAGACTGGGACGGGACGTGGAACAAGCGAGATAGATTAATTTTGCGGCACAGCAGTCGCCTGCCCAGCACGGTCGCATTCAACTTCAATGCCATGGACGCGCCTACTTGCCATTCCTTCTCCTCACCACCGCTTCTCGCTTCCGACGACCCAGCCATGAGGCTCCGCCGCTCCATCACCGCCTTGAGCGTCATCGCACTCGGCGGCCGCGCCTCGGCTGCCACGCCTGGCGTCTTGCAGATTCCATTCACAAACGACGCCGTGGTCTCCCTCAACAACCCCGGCGCCGAGCAGTATGGCGGGCCCGGCCAGCGGACATATGGCCAGGCGCACGAGGAAGCTCGGATGGGCTACTACGGCCCCGACGGACCCTGGCAAGCCGTGGCCATCAGCGTCGGCGACTTTGCATCCGAGAGTCCAACGCGGAATCCATACTCGGGGGTCTGGCCCATCATTGGCGACGTCACGTTTCTGCTGGGCGGTCGGGGTGGCGGCAACTACACGGCACAGACACCAGAAAGAATGGAATCCATCAAGTTCAGGCCCGAGCCTTCGCTATACTTTGCCAACACGACCATGGCCTCCGATGGTCAGAAGTCAGCCGACACCGCCTGGGCAGTTGGGAGCCAGCTGAGCGTCCACCGACTTCTCGGAGCTTCAGACTACGAGGGCTTCAACTTCACTGTCAAAGTCGTCGAGGTGGCCAGCTGGAACGTCACCCTGCCGAATGGCCAGGTTTACACTCCCAAGACCGGGCTCCTAGGAATGAGAGCAGTCCTCGAGTCCTTCAGCGCCAACCGATGCACAACGACATGCACGGCAGAGGACGTTGCCGACTTCAAGAGCATCGGCCTGATCGGCTCTCGCACCTTCAGCCTCCACATTGGCAGCACCATGGGCGTCCAGCAAGCCCGGCCATCTGGCCAGCAAACCCCCCTGGTCGGTCAGCAAGGATCCTTTGCCCTGGGCGGATACGAGCAGACGCGCATCATCGGCCCCGTCGGCGTCTTTGACATGATGGACGACATGCCCATCGTCTTTCTGCGGGACGTCTTCCTCGGCGTCGACGGGGGCCACAGCCCATTCGTATCCCGCCCATGGATGCGCCCCATCACCGACAACATCAGCGTCTTCTACGGGGTGCCCTACGGGAACGCTCCCTCGGCCGAGCTCAACGCCAAGCTCCGGGTCGGCCAGGGGATGGTCGTGGTGACGCCCAGCGCCGCAGCCCCGGGCATCTACCTCCCCGCCGAAGTCTGCGAGCGCATATCCGAGTATCTTCCAGTCCTCCTCGACCGCGCCACGGGGTACTACTTCTGGAACACCACGTCCGGCTTCTACACCTCCCTCATGCGCTCGCCCGGCTACCTCGGCTTCGAATTCGCCGACCGCAGCGGCCGCAACATCACGATAAAAGTCCCCTTTGCCCTCCTCGACCTCGGACTCGAGCCCCCAATAGTCCCGGAACCAACAAGGGTAACACCCCCCCCTCTTCCCAACTCCCGGTCTCCACTAACACCCCCAGTACTTCCCCTGCCACCCCCTCTACACCCCCCCGCCGGGCGGGTACTACCTCCTCGGCCGCGCCTTCCTGCAGGCCGCCTTCCTCGGCTACTCGCTCGACCAAAACGTCTCGTACCTCGCCCAGGCGCCCGGCCCCGACGTCGAGCAGAGCGTCGTGCGCGCGTGGCGGCCCGACGACGTCGGCGCCGAGTCGTCGCTCCCGCCCGGCGCGTGGCACGACGCGTGGCGCCGGAGCTGGCAGCGCCACGTGTACCCGCTGTACTACCCGCTGGACCCGGCGACCGGCGAGGTGCGCATGCCGACGGGCAGCGGCTGGGTGGATGGGCATGTGCTGGGGGGCATGATTGGGGGGGTCGTCGGGGGGATGGTGCTCTTGCTGGGGCTGTGGGAGGTGGGGTTTCGGTTGAGGGCGAAGACGGGGAAGGGAGGGGGGGGAGGGGAGGGGGCGGTGGAGCTTGGGACGAGGACGCAGGTGGTGGAGATGGGCGGGGAGAAGGTGTGTGAGAAGGGGGTGGACGTGGTGAGGTTTGAGATGGGGGAGGGGATGACGAGCGAGATGGAGGCGGGGGAGGATGGGGTGGTGGTTTCGCCGGTTTCACCGGGGAGTGCGTGGGTGGGGAGTCCGGGCGCAGGGACTGCGGTGACGGAGGGGACTGGGGAAACAGAAACAACTGTGACGGCGGCGGAGAATGCTTCATTAAAAGAACGAAATGTCTTTGAGATGCCGGGGGATTGGCCGTTGCGTGGTCCTGGGCGGGAAACGGAGGCGGAAACTGGGGTTGAGAAGGAGGAGGCTGTATCCGATGAACAGGGAAAGTTTCAAGAAGGAAATGACGGGGGCGAGAAAAAGAATGAAAGTGAAAAGGAACAGACACATACACACAAAGAGAGTTGATATACGACCAAGATAGACATAAACAACAGCGCTGGCTTCAAGGGAATTTCAACCCTTCGTTTACCCCTTTTCGCCCAGGAGCCCTTGATTTCAATATGTTTCCCCGGCAACAGCAACATAGGAGCAAAAAAAGAAACATACAACACCAGGGATTCGCTGGTCGTCACCGACCCAACTACTAGTCTGGCCCTCACTGGCTTATCTATGGGAGAGCGGACGGGATCCCGAGCTTTCCAGTGGGTATGGTCGTATGTATTTGTCTTACTGGATGCTGTACTCTTTATCGGAGCTCCCTCATCGTTGCTCAGGGGTACCTACTACCTCCGCATCACCTTCCCCACATCAACATCAATTCAGGAGACATCCACCCACACATCCACATCATCTCCACGACATGACGAGAAATTCTCTCATATTCCCCGAAGCCTAATTAGCATAGTGGCTAATGCGTTGCACTTGTATTCCGTCGTACGACATGCAAAGACCGTTGGTTCGAGTCCAGCATTAGGCAAACATTGAAGATGTCGAGTGGACAGTCTTTTTTTGCCAGGACACACTGAATTTCTTGCAGGTGTCCTCTTCCCCTTTTTGCTCGGTTTTGACAGCACAAAACTCACCGTCGTTCACACCCGGGATTGTGCAAATTCTCTCCAAGGCGGTCATGTTGGTTTTTGTCGTATTAATTGCAGGCCTACCGCGTTACGTCCGTAATGCTCAGATGCAAGCTCCGGTGCAGGTCGCAATGTGTGAGTTTGGGCGCCTTTCTCCTATTTTCCGTGTTTACACTGTCTTGAAACGAGGCGTCCCCTCCAAAAGTTGGGGGAATAGATTGCCAGCCACATAAACCCTCATCCTCTGAAATTGGCGCAGATGCCACGACATGCCCATGCTATCGGTAACCCCGTGGGCCGTGGATGGCGAGACGTCATTTATTACCGAGAAATGAGAGCTGAGGGAATGTTTGCTGTGTTCTATTCTTCCATGTGATCCGTGATCCCACCCACGTTGTGCAGCGTTGCCGGCTGGGGGTCCACGTGGGCCAGATATCTGCTTGCTCATGGGCAGTTGTTGTCGTGATGTGATCGTCTCTTCTCTTGGACCGTCGTCTTCCTCTGCCCCTAAACATTGTCAGCGCCAGCCCGATCAACACCATGACGTCCACCTCCAGTGCCTACTTCCTCAAACCAACCCAAGTCGCCGAGATCACCAACGTCTGGCACATGGGAGAAGAGAAGGAGCTCGAATGGGACTGCGACTTTTCCTTCCTCACCCTCCGTCTCTGGCAACATGACTACACGAATCCGAGACCAAGAGCCGGGAGGGTGTTCTTTGGTAAGAATCATCCCTTCATTCTCTCCCCTGTGCTAACATGTCGTGAACCAGAAAGCAACAGCACCCCGCCCGCCTCCAAATACACCTGGACTGTCGACACGTACACCCACGACAAGGACTTTTCCAATCTGTACTTCATCATGGCCATGAACTCGACCAACGCCACCGTGGCGGATGAGATGTACGACATCGTAAGCGCGGCATCGTTTCGGACGCCAAATTTCATCATTCAACCGGCCGTGTCGTCGTCGACAACGCTGAGCACAGTGACGGCGTCGAGCACGTCGTCAGTACCGCCGAACGTGATGCCGACGACCAGCGCGACACCCCTTGGGTCTTTCGAGACGGTGCCAAAGTCGAGTGCTGTCCAGGTTGGTGTCCCGGCGGGGATTGTCGCCGCGTTGATTTTGGTGGGGTTGGGATGGCTTTTGTGGCGGAGGAGGAGGCAGAGGAAAGGAGAAGAGGTGGAGGTGATGCCGCCTCAGATGGAACACCCGACGAGTCCCGAGAAAAAGACGGGTCCGTGGGAAAGCAAGACTGGAGTTGCGGAGATGGAGGCGGGAGGGAATCTTTTCGAGGCTCCTGCCGGGGATGTGAAGAGACGGTCGGAACTTCCTTCGTATTCGACGCCTGTTGAGTTGGAGGGGTGATGGTTTGAAAGCATGATAGCATCCCGTTTGACTTGGAATTTCTGCCAACTTGAATTTCATTTCATTTCAGCCCACCAATGCGTTTGAATTGCCCGACAGTCCAGACATGCGGCTTCTTTACCCAGCTTTGTGATATGTCCCTTCCTGGTCCCAGACAACCGATATCGGCTCGTGGTTGCCGGAAAACCTCTCGCCCGCAAACCACAGCTCAAAGCGCAAATCGGCAGGCGCGACGATGACGCGAATGTCAAACTGGCAGATATAAAACCGGTGCCCTCTCGAGAAGCAACTTCCCCGCTTGTGCTTGAGCACCAGCTGCTCCTGCCTCACGCCCTGAAGGTTGCTCTTGACATCGCAGATCTTGAATGCCCCGCCTGTCACGAGTGGGTCAGTCAGTCTTTTCCAGCTCATTTCGAGTGCGAAAGAAAAAAAGAGAGAAAAAAAACTCACGCTTTTTCATGCTCGACGGCAAAAACGGCGGATCGTTCGGCGACACCACAATCGTCGCATCCCACGACCGCGTCAGCTCGCCCTCGGCCAGGCTGATTTCAAACGACTTGACCAGCGGCGCGTTGGGGTCGACGACGTCGCCCTTCTTGATCAGCCACTGGATCTGGTCGATGGCCCACTTCTTCTTCTTGTCAAAGCTGTCGACTCGCACCTCTTCCCCGGCGTGCACCTCGGGCGAGTACGTCTGCTGCACAATCACGCCGTAGCTGGTGCGCGCCAGCCGCGACGCCAGGATCGACTTGGTGTTGTTGGTCAGCCACCGCTGCTGCCGGTCGAGCAGCAGCCCGCGGACAACCACCAGCTGGGGATCGTTGCAGGGGATGACGGCCACTCGACGGGCGTTGGGGTGCGGGAAGGCGAGGAAGCGTTGTTGGAGTTGGTCGCGGACGTATGCCGAGCTGCCGAGACCTCCCGAGAGGACCATGTGTTGCTGCTGTGGTCAGTTTCCTGTCTCCCCGGGGTATGAGCGGACTTACCACTTGTTGGGGATGGTTGGTATCCCGGAGCCAGTCGAGTTCCTCGACAATCTTCTTGACAATGCCCTCGACTTGCGGGTCAAAGAGGGCTTGGATCTCTTGTCTGCACCGTGTAAGTCACCACACTCCCCATTTCGGTTGGGGGACTCACAAAGCAAACAACATGCGCCCGTTTTCTATCCCCAACCCAGGATGGTTAAAGTCGTGCGCCACTCCCTCGGTCGGAATCCTAAACACCGGCTGCATGTATGCCCTCTCTCCAAACTTGTGCTTGAGCGTCCGGAACTGATGACTTCTTGCCAGACGCACCGGATAGTCCGGAGGCAGCACCGCCGCCACCTCCGGAAACGCCATGACCCTCGCTTGCACCATCTTCATAAACACGCGATCAATCACCGACGCCCCAATCCCCACCCCCGTCACCGGGTGCAGCGACGACATCTGCGGCACCTGCTCATCCGCCGACGTCACCTGCATCAGCGCGATATCCGTCGTCCCACCCCCGGCATCCACTGTCAAGAACAAGCTCCCCATGTCAAATCTCACGGCACTCGTCTTGAGCGTCGCCACCGCCGCCGCCTCGGCCTCGGTCAAGTCCACCTCGGCCGAGTGCCGCGGCCCTTCGACCCCGAACCCCGCATTCCGAATCACCGTCTTGAACGTGTGCACGACCCCCAAGCTCGTCCACGTCGTCGGCACGCTAAACACAAACTCGACCGCCATGCCCGTCCACCCGCCCGTGTGCCGCCGCCCAATCTCGCCCTCGATGCTCTCCTTGACGTGCGCGTACACCTGCGCGAGGTACTCGGTGGCAAAGCGCTGCGCTTCGTGGATTGAGGCTGGCGCGCCTGCAATGCCCTGGGCCTGGGCGCCCGCGAGTGTCTCGGCTTCGAGGAAGATCTTGAAGAACTCGCGCCGCGTCTTGGAAGGGGGGACGGTGTCGTCGAGGTCATCGGCGCAGAGGAAACCCCACGAGGAGAGGGTGCCGTTGGCGTGGTAGATGAGGGCTGTCGGGACCTTGCGCTCGCCGCGGTCGCCGCTGCCGGGCCAGTCGCTGATGGCTTGGATGGGGGTTTTGGGGGTCATCCATGCTACGCCTGCGGGAGTGTTAGCTCGGTTGGAGGGGGGTGGGAGAGGGGCGGGGGGGAGCCTACCTGTGTAAGTGGTTCCAAAGTCGATGGCGACGACAATGTCGGGGAGGGAGGGTGCCGTGCCGTTCATCTTGTCTGCTTCACGTCACGATGGGAGAATTTCCAGAGAGATCGATGTTCCAGTGAACATGTGAGAGGATTTCTTGGGGGAAAGTCGTTGGGGAAAGTTTCCAGAGTTGGAACCGAAAGTTCCCTCGTCTCCCAGGCCAGTGGCTTGGGAGTCCAGAGCCTGCCCTGCCCTGTCGGCCGTGGTGCATATCCTCCCGAGCAGGCTTGTGTTTGCACTGCCGGGGAGCCAAGTCTGCAAGTGCACACTCTTCAGGCCTAAGTGCATGAGCTGAAGTTTCTATCTCAGAGCCTTGCGCTATCGAGCCTATGATCGTCGCCCTGCATCTCTGCGCTGTCGGAGCTAATATCCCGGAGAGGTTGGTACGACATGCCGACATCCTGCACAGTGCGGCAGATCAGAGCCTGGTGGACTGCCATGGGTTGTATCATTTTGTTTGTTTGACGGGGAGGCTCTCGTTTAAAAGGATGATGTCTCCCAGTCTCTTGAGCGCGGACCCGATTCTTCAGTTTCTTTTTCGCTGTTTGTTTACGTCGCCGCCTTCTATATCGCGGTACAACTCGCGGCCTCGTCTCACTCATCATCTGCAAAATGGCGAGCCCACCAGCGACTGAAACGTTCCCTATTTCAGTCTTGTACGATACCAACGGCAACCCGACCGCAACCGTTGCCCCGTTTGACGTCTTGGTTGCTTTGGGAAACTACACGACAGGCACCTTCCAGGGGACTGTCGTTGGCCCTGCACCGGGTGCGATTGTTCCTGCTGGGGTGGCAGTCCCCACAGGTCAGGTGATAGAAACACCATGGCCTAAGCCGTCGACCTCCCCAACCGTTGCAGTTCCCAGTTCTTCAAGTGCCGCAAATATGGCAGGAAATACTGTCACTCAGACTGGACCTTCGAACACAGCCTTCACCCCAACGTCAACGTTCGTCAACGTCAACGGCAATGGTTCTGTTACCACCAAAGACTCAACAAAAACGACATCTGCTGTCAGCCAGTCCTCTGCTCCTGGACTTGCCAGTGGTGCCGTTGCGGGAGTGGCCATCGGCTGTCTCATTATCGGGGCTCTTGTCGCTTTCGCCATCGCATTCTTTTGGTTCAAGCGACGACGAAACAACCAATACGACGGGCACAGTCCGGTAGCGACGACCGTCGTCACTGATCTCAAGGGCTACGACACACCTCTGCCGCCGGCGCCCCTCGCTGCTGACAACTCCTCACTCGACAAGTTCCTCCTCGACTCGACCTCTGACAAGGACATCGCTGCCGAGCTGCACGCTCTCGGGACCCTCATCCAGTCGCACGTCGAGAACAACTACCACTC